CCCATATGAGGTTTTAGAGCAGGGGTCCTCAAACTTTTTAAACAGGGGGCCAATTCACGGTCCCTCAGACTGTTCAGGGGAGGCGGACCCGGGGTGAAATGCTCCTGGTTCAGACCAGATCGCCCGATCCGGTAGCGATGGCGGCGGGTGGTTCAGAGAACTGGTAGCAAAAATCCCTGCCCCCCCCCCATGCTCAGCTGAGCCACGCGATCATCAGAGGCTTTTTTTTTTTTTACTTTTAAAAGCATTTTTTCTACAACCTCTTCAGCTGAAAAAATGCTTTTAAAAGTTAAAAAAAGCCTCTGATGATCGTGTGGCTCAGCTGGGATCATCAGAGGCTTTTAAAAGCATTTTTTCTACAACCTCTTCAGCCAAAGAGTTGATCCCAGCCGAGTTGCCTGATTGTCAGAGGCTTTTAAAAGCATTTTTTTCCCGCAACCTCTTAAGGATGTAGAAAAAATGCTTTTGAAAGTTAAAAAAAAAAAAGTTGGCCACGCCCACCGTCACATTACCCCCCCCCCCGCACCAAGCCACACCTACAGAGCCGATTGTAACAAATTTTACATTTCACCACTGGCTGAACCAGCTGGGTGGGCGTGGCTAGGTGGTCATGTGACTGGGTGGGCATTGCCAATTTAGCAGTCCAAACAATACACACAAACTTTAATTTGTTAAGTTCCTGATGGGGGAAAGCAGGTTAGTGAAGGGATGTGGCTACCTTGGGATGTGTATGAGGGACTTCTGTTTTTGTGTGTGTGTGTGTCTTTCTCTTCCTCCCTCTCTCTCTCTGGAGGCCGGGGAGGTTAAAAACTGGCCTATTTTTGACCACCAGAGGCCTCCACATGTCCCATTTTTGGCCTCCCCATCCTTCAGAAGGCAGGTGGGGGCTAGCGGGTGGGTGGGGTGATGTGGGCGGGGTAGCCTCGTGGTCCTGTGCGGGCCAGAATAATGGCTTCGCCGGGCTGTATCCGGCCCACGGGCTGTAATTTGAGGACCCCTGTTTTAGAGTTTCAAGAATTCTAAACCTTGGCATCTAAAAGTCTGCTGTTATTTTGCAAAATTTCATTTTGCTTAGTGAAGGTATTGTTATCTATGGTTTTCATTTTCTTCCCTTCTTGTGCCAGCATTAGTACTTTTGCTCTGTAAAAGAAATGAGTTTTCTTGACCCAGAATAAGAGGAAACACATGCCAAAAGTGGGGGGGGGAACCCCCCCTCTATAGCACTTCAGATAATATGAAACTATTCATATATGTAAGCTTTGGCTTAGGGACAACACGCTGCATATAAAAGGATTATATTTGGAAGCTCAACATTATGATTTTTGTTCTATTCATAGCAAAACCGCGTCTTCTCCTGCCAATTAAGAGATCCCGAAAGCAACAAGGATCGTGTTTACAGAGCTCATCATCTTTTCACATTGCTCCAATTAAGGGGCCTTCAGAATTCTGCAAATCGTTTTCCCGAAAGCAAAAAACAAACAAAAAACAAACAAACAAACTTGGGGCTATTTAAATGCGCAAAGAACAGTTTTAATCCAAACCCGTTTCTTCTTCCACTTTAGGAAAATTATTCAGAGTGCAACACAACCTGGTGAACAGCACAAGGCAATTCAACACTCCTTGGCTGAGAAGAAGAGGGAGGGATGAATAGACTTGTTTTCCATCACAAGGGGAAAAAAATGTGATCCATTGAATGACTGGGGAAAACTTTTGTTATACACTTTTAAATTTATGCCTTTGTTTATTCTTATCTTTACTTTCTTTCCAGGAGTTCAGACAGAATGAGTTGTGTCCTACCTCAGTTTTATACCCTTAATAGGCTCGGCTGAAAAATAATGAGTGGCCTCAATTCACCCATTGAGCTTCTATGTCCGAGTGGGATCAACTGATCACCAATCACCAAACAGATCTGAATTACAACACAAGTGTTGGAGAAAAGACAGGGCTCCTCAACATTGAGGAGCTAAACTTGCCTACTGTATTTTTCAGAGTATAAGATGCATCTTTTTCTCCCCTAAAAGGGGGAGAAAATTTAGGTGCAGCTTATACACCGAATGTAGCCCCGCCCACCCACTGGCCCCCACCCTTTGGCCTCTGCCTCCCAGCAGTTACCTCCTTGCAGCAAACAGCAAGAAGAAACAGCTCCTTTCAGCTTCAGCACAGACTAATTAGCACAAGTTGATTGGATTGGCCTCCCGACTCTCAGCTGTTTTGCTCTCAGCTGTTTTGTGCTGGCCTCTGCTGCTTGTTGCAAGGAGGTAAATTGCTGGGAGCAGATTTTTTTTCTTGTGCTAATCAAGCTATACTGAAAACGGAAATGAAAGTAAAGCAGGCTGTTTGCTGCAACGAGGCAAAATTGCTGGGAGGCAGAGGCAGATTTCTTTTTCTTGTTTTCCTCACCAAAAAAGATAGGTGCGTCTTATTGTCCAGTGCGTCTTATACTCCGAAAAATATGGTAATTCAGCATTGTCTCCCTCTTCCAAAAACCAATGGGGGAAAACAGATTCATTTAACAACTAGGTGATTCACTTAACAACCATGGCAAAAAAAGGATCGTAAAATCAGCACAACTCACTTAACAAATGTCTTGCTTAGCAAAATAAATTCTGGTCCAAATTATGGGCATAAGTCAAGGTCTACCTGTATCTGCATTGCGAAAATATAGATTGCTAGAAAACTTGCAATAACTAAAAGTAGAGATAATAATCTATAGTTTCTTCAGGAATACTACATATTTTAAAGTAGATGTATCATTCAATGCTGAATTATTCAGAGAATCTCCAGTTCAGCAAAACATTATCTGACTGTCTACACTGAGGAGGACATAAATTCAATTTATCCTGACAAATTTATCTACAGTAGTTACGTTCCTTATAACTATTAGCAGGCCTACAAGGCTGATTTAATTAGTGCAGGGGAAAAACAAAACAAAAGAGATACAATAACTCACAATAATCCAGATGGTTTTTAACTCTTGTAATATTCCTGTGTCTGCGGAATCCAAGCAATGATTTAGAACTGATGGAATGCTGGCTGAACAAAAGAAGTAAATTATTTTATTTCCTTACATGACTGCTAAGGGGGAAAAAAAAAGATTCCAAAAATTAGCATCTGCTGATACTAGTGTTAGAAAACATCTCCAAGAACCATTCTTTACAAAAGTTATCAAAGATTTAAACAGCCCGTAGGCCTCATTTATGAGTAGTTGTTTCTAAGAAAAATGAGAATTATGAAAGTTTGAATAGCAAATACAGATAGTCCTCAACTTACAACAACTGAGCCCAAAATTTCTGTTGCTAAGTGAAACATTTGTGAAGTGAGTTTTGCCTCGTTTTATGACCTTTCTTGAATAGTTTAAGTCAGAGGTCTTCAAACTTGGCAGCTTTAAGACTTGTGGACTTCAACTCCCAGAATTCTCCAGCCAGCAGAGCTTGTGGACTTCAACTCCCAGAATTCTCCAGCCAGCATAGTTTGTGGACTTCAAGTCCACAAGTCTTAAAGCTGCCAAGTTCGAAGACCTCTGGTTTAAATGAACCAGTGCCATTAAGTTAGTAACACACTTAAATGAAATTGGCTTCCCCATTGACTTTACTTGTCAGAAGTTTGCAACAGGTGATTACATGAGCCCAGGTCACCGCAACCGTCATAAATAGGAGTCAGTTGCCAAACATCTGAATTTTGATCATATGTCCATGGGGACGTGCAACAGTTAGAAGCTGAAAAATGGGCATAAATCACTTTTTTCAGTGCTGTTGTAATTTTGAGCGGTCACTATATGAACTGCCGTAAGTCAAGGACTACCTCTACATGACCAATACCTTCAGCCTGGAATAGGTAAAACACTGCATGACTTGATTTAAAGCAAATGGTACACAGTTATTGGCAGATACACACAAAAACAAGATTTATTCTAAAGAAAACTATTCTTATCTAAAGGCTACATTATTCATGTAGAGATGAAGTAAATTATAGATATTTTTAATCTATGGGGTTTTGATTTACGTGGGACAAAGCCAATGTTTCATGCTCCTCAAACTTTTGCTCAGTTGAAAATATAGTTTCTGCTAAAACAAAGATGGGGAAGAAATGGAGGTAGTGACCGATTTTATTTTCCTGGGCTCCAAGATCACCGCAGATGGGGACTACAGCCAAGAAATTAAAAGACACTTGCTCCTGGGGAGGAAAGCCATGGCAAAGCTAGACAGCATACTAAAAAGCAGAGACATCACCCTGCCAACAAAAGAGCATATGGTCAAGGCGATGGTTTTCCCAGTTGCAATGTATGGCTGTGAAAGTTGGACCATAAGGAAGGCTGAGTGCCAAAGAATTGAGGCCTTTGAACTATGGTGCTGGAGAAGACTCCTGCAAGTCCCTTGGACTGCAAGGCGATCAAACCAGTCAGTCCTAGAGGAGATCAACCCTGACTGCTCTTTAGAAGGCCAGATCCTGAAGATGAAACTCAAATACTTTGGCCACCTAATGAGAAGGAAGGACTCACTGGAGAAGAGCCTAATGCTGGGAAAGATTGAGGGCAAAAGAAGTAGGGGACGACAGAGAATGAGGTGGCTGGATGGAGTCACTGAAGCAGTAGGCATGAACTTAAATGGAGTCCAGAGGATGGTAGAGGACAGGAAGGCCTGGAGGAACGTTGTCCATGGGGTCACCAGGGGTCAGACTTCGCAACTAACAACAACAACCGTAGATCAGGCAAAGAACCAGTGGTAGATTTCAGGTTGTATCCTACTTGCCCATGGGCTAGATCAACTCAACTGGTTTATATTGTCTAAGATTTTTATCACAATTCTCTTCCCAAACAATGTTTTCCATTCATGATGACATCTTCTATTTTGGTTCCTGAACATAAGATTAAGCCGTTCTAGCACTAAAGGATCTGAGTTCATTCAAATTATTGATCTCTCATAGAAGTCTTGGGTTAGTCACTGCCTCTCACGATAACATCTTACTGTATTGACACAAGGATAAAATAAATTAGGCGTGACCTTAAAGGGACTCCGGGAGATAGTAGAGGACAGGAAGGCCTGGAGGAACATTGTCCATGCAGTTGCAATGGGTCGGACACGACTTCACAACTAACAACAACAACAACAAAAGAAAATTACAATCAGCAAAATATGATATACAATTGTGAAGAACAGCATGGTATATTTTTATCAGGTTTATTTTTCCAAACTTCCTCTGTTCTTTCTATTTCTGCAGTTGACGGCTTAAAATCAGTAAAATGCATATTATTTTCCAGATTAAACAATGCAGTAGCTTTTAACAGCACTCAAGGCTAAAGCAAGGAGACAGCAGAACTGACACCATATACAGAGACACAGATAAGTCGGAAGCATAACAGTTTGTGTGAGACTTCTTACATTCCTGCCAAGATTTTGGAGAAATGGGCAGATAGTCCAAAACCAGATTTTACTGCTATCTGTACTTTTGCTTACTACTGCTATCTCTTTTTGCTTATTTCAATATTTTATTGTTATTCACCCATTTGGCCATCTCATCACAAGAGATTTAATCTTTCTTAAAATGTACACAGTACAACAGCTTCTTATGGCACTTGCACCAAAGTTTTCATTCCAAGCCTAGAATGTAATAATTTCTGCCAAGTTGGTCCATTTCCTTCCTAACAATGGCCAGCCAGGTGTTCCTGGAAAGGAAATACAGGAATTCTTTTGTTTGGTGAATAGAATAACTCTGCTGGATCAGATCAAGGGCTAAGGATGATACTAAAGAACCTACAGAGAGAGAGGCTTACATGAAACAGAAGAAACACAAAGAAAAGAACAAAAAGCAGAGTCAACTTTTTAAAATAGTAATTCACTAAGGCAGGGGTGTCAAACTCGATTTCATTGAGGGCTGCATCAGGGTTGTGACTGACCTTGGGGGGGCAGGGGGTGTGGCCAGCTTGATGTCACTCATGTCAAGGGCATCTGTGATGGCCTGAGCACTCTGCCAGCAAAAATGGGCTCCCGAGCTCCGTTTTCGGTTAGGAGGCCTTCTGCAACCCCCTGCCAGTGAAAACGGAGCTCGGGAGGGTCACAGGAGGCCTCCCGAGTTCTGTTTTCACTGGCAGAGGCACCGCGGGCCGGTCCTTCGCTGTTTCGAGGGTGGCCCCATGGGCCAGATCTAATTATCTCATGGGCCACGTCTGGCCCCCAGCCTTGAGTTTGACACCCCTGCACTAAAATACGAAAAGAAAAAGAAGGCATTGGAACATCAGATACCAACAGCAGATCAAAGGCCTGCCTATTCTGGGATCGATCGAGATGTCTGTAATCCTACAAGAGGGATACAAATCCAATAGCAACTTTTCACCTATGCTTCTGAATACAGAGCAATAGTAAATGGTAACCTCATTCTCTGTAATCTGCCTCAATCCTTTTCTGAAGCAGGACTGGAGCAATCTAAATTCAAGTTTGTTCACTCTCAGTATGAATCCTACCAGATTACTTCGGATTTTTCAACACAGGATGCCCTGAAACATAACAAAAAAGTTACGTATGATGGTCGAAGTTTTTTCTCTGTCGTGATCTGATTCCATGGTACGTAGCTTCAACACGTAGGCAGTTGCAGAGAAAAGAAATTGAAATTTATATAATGTAGTTAATTTTTATTAAAAGATTGCCTAGTTCGGTGATGGCGAACCTATGGCACACATGCCAGCCATATCTGTGGGCACGCGAGCATTGCCCTAGCTCAGCTGCAGCATGCATGTGCTTGCTAGCCAGCTGATTTTTGCGCCTTCTGGGCCCACCGGAGGGGCCTCCGGAGGGCCTCACGGGGGTGGGGAAGGCCGTTTTCACCCTCCCCAGGCTCCAAAAAGATCTCTGGAGCCTGGGGAGAGTGAAAAACCAGCCTACCAGGCCCACCGGTAACTTTTTTGCCATTACGTGCCAAAAGCAGGGGGAGTGTGGGGGGGTCGCGCTCGCATGCGTGGTGGGGCAGGGCACGGGGGCATTGAATCTTGTGCTTCAATCCTCTACCTGATGAGAAATACAAAGGGAAACAAAAGAGATTTGATAGTCAATGCTGTTGTGCCACATTTTGCAAGGCCTTAAGTTGTGATGAATGTTTTCAAGACACATGTAAGGTTTTGAAGAGGACAACGCAGAAGTTCCTGGCAACTTGGTCTAATGGTTAGACCTCTTCTGATGGATGATTGCCTCCAGCTCGTTTTCAACTCCTTGCATCTCCTACACAAGATTTTCTTTAAGGACAATCCGTCTCCAATCTGTTCTTTCAGGTCTCCCAATGGTGCACTCCTTGCCATCGTAACTGAGTCCGTCCACTTCACTACTGGTTGTCCTCTTTCCTTCCACCTTTCCCAGCATTAGAGACTTCTTAAGAGAGCTGGGTCATCACATGTTTCTGAAGTAGGTCATTTGAGCCTTGAGCGAGAACACTGGGTTGATTTGTCTGATGATCGTTGGGGTTTTTTGTTGTTGTTTGTCTATGGCAGAGCTCTTCAAACTTGGCAGCTTTAAGACTTGTGGACTTCAACTTCCAGAATTCTCCAGCCAGCTATGCTATGCTGGCTGGAGAATTCTGGGAGTTGAAGTCCACAAGTCTTAAAGCTGCCAAGTTTGAAGAGCTCTGGTCTATGGTATCCTCAGGAGTCTTGTCCAACACCAAAGTTCAGAGGCATCAATACTCTTCCTATCCTGCTCCTTCAAAGCCCCAACTTTTGCTTCCATAGAGTGTCACAGGGAATACCATGGCTTGCTTGATTCTGATCTTTATAAGTATGGACACATCACAGTAGTTTAGTATCTTTTCAAGGCCTTCATAGCTGCTCCAACGTACTACTCTGAGACATATTCCTTAGCTGCTTGTTCCTTTACGCTTGTTTATCTTAAAAGGAAAAAGCTATCTACTACCTGGATATCTTCATTGAAAGATAAAACTCTCCCATTGTTTCTTAAATGATCCCCAACAATCTGGAATCTATAAAGCAGGGGTATCAAACTCAAGGCCCGTGGGTCAGATCCAGCCCACGGGGTACTTAGATCTGGCCTGCGCGGCCACCCTGGAAACACTGAAAGACTGGCCTGCGATGTCTCTGCCAGCAAAAACAGAGCTTGGGGAGGCCGTGCGCGGCCTGCTCGGGCTCCATTTTTGGCCACGATGGCCTCCTACAGCTCTCTGTCAGCAAAAATGGAGCTTGGGGAGGCTGTGCGCGTGTCAGGTTCGCATGGCTACTCCTCCAGATAAGCCATCATTACAGCCGTTTCCAAACCTCTCAGTGACCCTCGGTCTCTCAGCCTCCCCCAACAGCTGCTCAGTCAGCAGCACCCAGCTGTACGTGCTGTCCAGTCCATTCAGAAAGCTTGCTGCCAGGCCGGGAGACGACAAAAAGGCAGGCAGGGAGGGATCTTCACGTTGCTTGCTGACCAGGACGTAAACTGAGGAGCCAGAGTGCCATGGGAGCCGCCGCTTTGCCAGAACCTCTGCACCCACCGGAATGGCAGCCCTGACATGCGGTCGCGCATTGGGGCTGACACACAGCCTGCCTGGGCTCCATTTTCGGCTGCGATGACCTCCCCGAGCTCCATTTTCACTGGCAGAGGGCTGCAGGAGGCCATCATGGCCGAAAATAGAGCCTCAATGAGTGACAACGAGCTGGCCACACCTAACTCAGTCATGCCCACACACCCCCAGCCAGACACACACACACACCCAAGGTCAAACAACAAACCTGATGCAGCCTTCAATGAAATAGAGTTTGATACCCCTGCTATAAAGGAACAATTGGCAACAGCTTTGAGGTTAAAAACAGAACTCTGCTCCTCTCACTGTGTTTGGGGTTGCACATTACATTAATAGCAATAGCAACAGCACTTAGACTTATATGCAACTTCACAGTGCTTTCCAGCCCTCTCTAAACAGTTTACAGAGTCAGCATATTTGCCCCCAACAATCTGGGTCCTTATTTTACCCATCTTGGAAGGACGGAAGGCTGAGTCAACCTTGCCACACAGTTTGTTTAATTACGACCCAGTGAATTCACCCCACCTTCCTGGATTCATCACACAACAAGCTAAGCCAAAATCAAACAAACTACACACAACTCAGGGTGTGAATGCAGTGAATGCAGCTTGTAAACATGCTAAGGAAGAAAATACACCCCTGAACTGCCCATTCTCACCACAGCAGGAAAAGGAGGATCAGTCAATTTCTCCCCCTTAAAACCAGCCCCAGGAATGCACTTAGATCCTTTTCAAAGGCCTTTTGAAAACACATCAAGTCTTGTGGCTCAATACCAGCACGATCAATTACAGAAGCTTCAGGATACAGGGTGGACTTTGATGTATTCTTAATATTTTAAAATGGTTGCTCTTCTGGTATACACCAATTACTGTATGTATATACTAAACCCCTGAGGTTTGCATTCAGTGTAGAAAACACAGCAGAACTATGGAAGGTCTCAAGGCCACCGCACCGCCTTCTGTTATTGAGGACATCCTCACAATCATTTTCTAAAAAGTATAATTTGCTATAATAGGGAATATAATATAAATGAAGCTCAGGGATTGAATTGCTGGGTTTTGGGTGTTCTTTGTACAATTTGTGGAGGGGAGAGTAGAGCAAGAAAATTATATATATATATATATATATATATATATATATATATATATATATATATATATAAATAAAATTATCTGGATAGTCAACAATAGTGTCTACAATAGGTATTTGTATTAACCTCGATCCAGAAATATAATGATACTGTAGATGATTGATGATGATAGGGTGGATTTGATTTAAATCGAGTTGATGTAAATCACAATTTAAATCATGATTTAAATCACTAGTAAAAAGGCTTGATTTAAATCAACTCAATTTAAATCATAATTTTTAAAGAACAACTGTCATCTCTGCTACTCCTTTGACCCACTGTTGACTCACCGATAGTCCCAGTGTTGCAGAATATACAGCCTCATGCTACATAACTAAGCTCCATTTCATGCTGAATAAACTAAATTATTTATGTATCTTAAATAGAAAAACGATAGATTTTTACCCCAAAAGTTTATTAAAATAAATTCGATAAAAATCAAAAAAAAATCCGATTTAA